AGAGTTCTCAGCCATAGTAGTAACCAAAGTTGGAGGGACCTGTTGCCACGTGTGCCTGTAGTCAGGACATAACTAATGTGAGTCTGATAATGAGGACCTGACCATGGGAACTGAGCCTTCTAGGACAGCTGACTGCTGAGGGAGCCAGATCTGTTGCATATCAGGAGTGGTGAACCGTAACTGTGATGGGCACGGTGTCAGACCCCAGCCCTTCTCACCAACTTGTGACCGAAGGACTAGCCAATCTAAAACCGCGCTGCCACTTGCGTAACAATGCAATTCTCAGCTGCACCCTGCACAAAGATTTTCCAGCTCACTGGACCCCAATCTAGGTGCCAGCAGCCTGAGAACGATTGTTACTGGGTCAGGTTAATTACGCAATTAACCCTTCACACTGCTACCACCACCTTTTTACAGAGAAGGAGGAAACTCACAAATCTTAGCAGTAACGCTATGATGTTTGAACAAGCGTCCGTGTACACACTTTCACCGCAGACAGATGTATCCAGAGGTTTTAAAACACACGGTAGCACTCTTCAGAGACAGGGATTCTTAGTTTGCATTAAAGAGCTTTAGAAACAGTTTAACACATTTCAGAAAATAGGATTTATTAGTAAAAAGGTCAAAATGGTGCAAAACAAATATTTACAGAAAAAGATGTGACCAATATATATATATATATATATATATATATATATTGGTCACATTTTTTTCTGTAAATATTTTTTTTGCACCATTTTGACCTTTTTACTAATAAATCCTATTTTCTGAAATGTGTTAAACTGTTTCTAAAGCTCTTTAATGCAAACTAAGAATCCCTGTCTCTGAAGAGTGCTACCGTGTGTTTTAAAACCTCTGGATACATCTGTCTGCGGTGAAAGTGTGTACACAGACGCTTGTTCAAACATCACAGAAAAAGATGTGACCAATATATATATATATATATATATATATATATATATATATATATATATTGGTCACATCTTTTTCTGTAAATATTTTTTTTGCACCATTTTGACCTTTTTACTAATAAATAGCAATAACACAACAGAGAGATAACAGAAAGAAGTTTAAGAAGGAATAATACTTGCAGAAGTCCTGGGTTTAGGCAGAGTTCAAGTGTCCTGAACAAAAGGGTTCCTTTTCTCCCAAAGTTGGTTCATGATGTTAAAAGGGAGAATCTCTTCATCATTCTCTCCAGGTATGACAGCCTTTTTTCTAGGAACCCAGCAGGGTGCCTCCTTAAAGCAGAGAACAAATCGCCTCATTTGGGGAGGGGTGTTTAGGCGGGGACTCAGGCTATGACCAAATCCCTCCCACGTTTATACCATGGTCAATAACCTTCTATAGGTACATGTAGCATCCTAGTCACTGGCAGATTAATATGTAGAATGATATCCTGAACGTCCAGACATCAAATATAACATATCTTACCATTCCAGATAAAGACATATTGCTTTCTACTCTCGTGTAGGTGCCACATAGGGGTGTAAGGTGTCAGGTGACTCGTATTAAACTGACCTATCTGAATATATGCTTTGTTTTATTGTACCTTGTTCCTGTCGGGATTTATGAATTTGTATGAAAAAGTGGTTTCAAGTGGGATGTACATTTTACTGCCACTCTGGAATGCTTTCATGTCCAGTGACTGACTGATTTATAGCTTAACGACCAGGCCATGGCAAGAGTTTGATAGACATCATGGGACCAGCTAATTGGGTTTACAACCATGAAGCATATCCAGCTGTGCCCTGTGCACTCCTGAACTCAGCACACACACAGACCACATTCCTTGCAAGGGAAGGGGGGCTGGAGGGAGAGAGAATGATATTTGCAGAGTATGATACAAGATGGTGAATCTTAGCAAAATGGTTGTCTGCGTCCATATCTGTGCACACAATTATCACAGTAACAACTGAGTTTAAACCCTTACTGTCCACAGTTAATGCATATTCCTTGCTTAACAGCCCATCAGCCATCCATGGCACAGTCTTAAAGGGGCAGCTGCATGTGCACCACCTTACGGAAGGACCCCAAGGTTAGCCGACTAAGACTGGCAATTAGGCGGAAAGTACTTTGTAGCCACTTCCGAGGTACCCCTTGCCAGGAACTCGTACACACACCCACTAAGGGGCTGCATGCACAAAGCGCACTTGAGGACAACACTTTTTGGGTTAGTGATTGCCATTTGTTTATACTGGGTAAAATTTGGTTAGCCTGTCGCAGTATGGTTAAAATAGGCCAGTGTTCACCCAATATAGTTCAGCATCTTTAACCCCCCTGGCGGTATTCCCGAGTGTAGCTCGGGGTTAACATTCAGTACCAAAAGAGGTAACTCTGAGCTACACTCGGGATTACGCTGCAGTGTTGCTCAGGGATTCCCTCTTGCACTTACCTTGTCCTGCACTCCCACGATGTCCCCCCTGCAGCGTCCCTTGCCATCTCCTCCGGCTGATGCCTTCTTCCGGGTTCTGTTCCCTGCGAGCATCGGGATGTACGGGACGTAAGGGGGAAAGAACCGGCGGGAAATTCAAAAATGTTAAAATGTGACATTCACTTAATACACTAAAATCTGATAGTATTACATTACTGTATCAAACCATTTCACATACATTTTGTCCCTAGTGCTTTGTCCTGTGCTCTGCCTGCATATTTACTGTTCTTTCTGCCTGGAAACTGAGAAACGTCCATGGCGTCCAAAAGCGTCCCTTTAGGTCAAAAGCGGTTTTAGACCAGCTAGGGAACAGTGATAGTAACTTAGAACCACTTGCAGAATTAAGTGATAATGAATTGTGGGGAAATTCGTCATCAGACACTGAAAACGATGTTGCGACTAAGCTCAGCGATGTGTGAACTTGGCGCTATATTTCAAATTTCAGTGTTTTTGGTTTGATTATATTATTGAATTAAATTTATTATTATATTATTATTTTTTGTATTATTATTATGTTTCAAACTTCTATCATACCCGGGATGTTTACTAGACTCTTGTTTGGACAGATTTCAGTGAGTTATTCCTAAGAATTACAGGCCTACAATAAAAAAACAACATATTTCCATGCAAAAAAATGTACCGCTTTGAGCACAGAAATACTGACATAATCAGACCGCTAGGGAGGTTAAACGAGTTCAGTTGCTTCTTTACTGATTCATGCATTGTTTAACTGCTCTGCCACAATACATCTATTTAATATACCACTCAGTTGCTTGTGGACTATTTCTGCATACTGTTATAGCATGGTAGCATACTAACATTTGAGTTACACAGGTATGAGCAGCCTTCATCTTACAACCAGGTGTGTCAGTGGGGACCGAGCAGTTTAAAGAGTCCGAGGAATTAAAGATAACACAAGGCACACTTTTTTGGGGGGGGTTTTGATGGAGTGGTGGGGGGTTAGAACCAATGTCAATTTTTTATTGTTGTATGCGTCCCTATTAGGGAGATTCACCTGTTCTTATTGACCTGATCACCAATGTTGCTAGGAATGACAGTGAGGGTAAATGCAAAATTTGGAGTTGCCACCAGAACCAGAACAGAGGGAAAATCTTTCAGTGGTGACATTTATTCGCATGACAACTGTTTATGAAGGAATTTCCCTAACATTGAAAGAATTTCTTTCACTTCCTGTGAAGTTTACAAGACAGGAAGCAAAAGGAAATTTACTACTCTATCCAAATACCCTACAGTATCCAAAAAAAGAAGTGAGACATTGGGGTTGATTTACTAAAGGCAAATAAGCTGTGCATTTTGCAACTGCTGCTGCACTCTGCAAGAGCTTAGTAACTGAGGTAAAGCTTCATTTTGCAAAGAATACCCAATCACATCAGAAGGAAAATAATATCAAACAGCATTTTTGCTTGCCCATGATTGGATGATGGATGTCAACAGAGCTTTCTATCATTTACTAAACTCTGTAGCAAATTCCCTTGCAGAGTACAACTGCACTTGCAAAGTGCACAGTCTTTTTTTACCCTTAGTAAATCAACCCCAATGTCATGCTTCTTTTTGTTTGGATAGCATGTGCAGTGCGTGTGCCTGGGACCCGAAAACCAGTGCAGACCTGGCCTGGCTGAGGACATCGCTGGATCCCTGGACAGGTAAGTATCCTTTAATTAAAAGTCAGCAGATACAGTACATATACTTTTAGAAGCTGTTAGTCGTTTGATGCGGCTAAATGTGCCTAAATGCTAGGTGCATTTAGCGCTTGGGCATTAATTCATTTCAGTGGCCACAATAGATACTTTTACAAGTGTCAGGTGTTTTTTCTGTAAGAATGCAGCTGCCAGGAGGACAGCTTCTAGGAGAATTTGTTTTTTACATCTTGTGTGCATGAGGCCTTATTTTCAAAGCTTAATTGAACAATCTGAAATCAGAAAAAAAGCTGATTGGCCACCAAGCACATGTGCACCAGATCCTGAGTGCTCCAGTTCTAGTAAATCTCCCCTTATGGGTCCATTCACATCTACACGTGTGCGCTACCATTTAAATCCAGTCTTAAGGTCCCTTCCCTTGGTAAAGGGATCTGGTAAAGGCCCACGGATATACACAATTGTTATATGTTTTATGGTCTACATGTTATAAAGCCTAATTTTCCTGACTGATCGGCATTTGAGGAAAAAAACAGTAGAGATGTGTCAATAAATGATGTCACAATGACTCAATTTATTACATTTTACTACATTTTGTACAGACACTCTGACCCCCCACCACCATCCCCTTCCCTAAAACTGAATGCAGGTAAATGAACAGTGGGGATTAAACATTTTTAAATCACTATATGCATTTACAGTAAACCTCCTATAAACATATTTAAATACATATAAGTGCATGCCCATGGGAATGAGGCCTAATTTAGAAAGGTAAAAGAAATCAATAGTAAAGAGTATTATACGTGGCAAAGTATCCCCACACAAATGTATTAATCAACTGAAAATAGACTCAGAGAAGTCATAAATTTTATTTTTTTTAAACAGTAGCAGAAAAATGATACATGTAATTTCTTTCAGAATAAAATTACATTGAAAATGACTGAGCGCTTTGACTGCCATTACTGCAAGGAATCTCTGTTTGGAAAGAAATACCTGCTGAGGGAAGAGAACCCATACTGTGTGAAATGTTATGAAAGCCTGTACTCCAACACATGTGAGGAATGCAAGAAACCCATCGGATGTGATGGCAAGGTATGCTGACACTTCCTGTTCATCTGATCGTGCCTCCATTGACTAAACAGAAAATTCCATTAGTGAGCTGGAGGTATTAACAAAAGTGCAAGTCAAGTGGGGTTCAGACACAACCCCAGCATTTAAATCATCTGTGGATATGTTTGAGATTAAATATATATGCATCTTTCTTTACATTAGAAAGAATGACCTAAAACATTCATAGGTGGTCAACTTTTGATATGTTCCTTATTCATATAGCATTTTAATGACTTATTCACATATGTACCTGATAATACGTTATTGTATTTTGATTATGACTATCCATATTTGTAAATGAGAGCCATTGGAAACACGACTAGATCTACTTAGCCTTGCTTAAAGTGGTAATTCAGGCAAAACTTAACTAAGGCGAAACCTACTCCAACCCCATTCTATGGCTATTCTATCTAACCCTCTAAACAAAAGATCTGTAAACTTACCTATTTTGAAGCCGCTCCTGTCTGGTCTCAGAATCAGCTGTCAGAAGTGGCTTCCATTTGGAGGAGAAGCAGCCGAGAACGAATGTCCCATTGTAAGTCTTTGGGTGATATGATCTCCTAGGCTAGGGGTCTCCAACTTTCCAAACAAAGGGCCAGATTACTGTCCTTCAGACTTTTGGGGGTACGGATTGTGGCCAGTGGGGGTAGATAATGTCCCAGGTCTGGCATCAGTGAAAGTAAACAATGACGCTGCTCTGCAAGTGCCCCTTTAGCTGCAGTGGCCAGGGGTGTACACATGTTACAGCCGCAGTAGGAGTTATACATCCTGTCATGGTCGGTGGCTGTAGCACCTGCCAAGCATTACCTATTCAGGTGAATGAGGCTGCTCTGCAAGTGCCCTGCAACCTTGTGCAGTACAGCAAAGAAGGAGTTAATCAGGCAGCTTTGTGTTGCTTTCTCACCACCTGCTTTAACCCCTTGGATCCCGCAGAAGCATGCAGTTGTGGGGCACTTGCAAAGAGGCCCTATTTACTTGAATGGGAGGCGATTGATAGGCGGTAGCACCCACCAAAAGCAACAGGGGGTTTAATTCCTGCTGGAGCATGTGTACACCTGTGGCTGTTTCCTCAGTAACTAAACGGGGTAGGGATTGGGGGCAGGCGGCAAAACCGCTACTCAACCATAGGGTTTTGCCACCCTCCAACTTTACGTGTGAATGAGCTCTAAGAGTGACGCTGCCGAATGCAACTAAAGGCTCATTCACAAGTGTAGCAGGCACTGCTGCTTCTCTGAAAACCGATTCAAGTGTGTTTGACTGGTGGTGAGGAGGCAATATGTTGCCTCCTCACCCCCTGATTTAAACTCATGATTGTCGTGCAATGCATGCGATTGCGACACAGTAGTACAGCAATTAGAGGTGTGAGGACGCGACACTGTGCCCGGTGATCTTTGACTTCTCCCATGTTGTTCAAGTAGACCTCCACCTTTTTAAGGTTGCCTATCCCGATTTAGAACATTACAAGGGGTATCATACTTCTTTAGTGATTTCTCTGAGCATTGACCCATTATTGTAGTGGTGGTGGTGGTGGTAGTATATTAAATCAGGCCACAAGCCAGCTTTACTGCCTTTGAAGTTTTTGTATTGTAATCCTGCACACACCAATATGGCCACACTCAAGCAGTTTTGTTTTTCTGAAAAGGTGACAACCCTAGGCAGGAGACAGAAAGCAGACCAAGAGGGGAGTTTGTAAGTAAGGATAATGCACAAGTAAATACACTTTTGAATCTGGCCTGGTCTGTAAAGCAGCATATTGAAATGATCCAATCACATGTAGCTGATGTATGATAAACACCCTTTTGAATTAAAAGCAGGCTCTTGCTAAATGACACATTTACCTGAATATGCAAGTCAAACACGGTTCTACAGGAAGGACTTGCAGCAAACAGAATGCAGTAGTATAATCTAAACCCCAGTTCCCAGCTGTCAAATACTGGCCACTCCTGCTCACAGACCACATAGGAGTTATATTTTTTGTTGATCGTACATTTCTAGACACACAATCAGAGTTTTAGACCATAGGTTATATACTGTCTTCAGATGACTGGACACTGGTAAACTAATGCTCTAAGGACATCCCTAATATAACCCCTTCCAATCCCTGCAACGGATGTCTTTTCTCTGTTGTGAGAGAAGCTAACCATTTCCTTTTGTTATTTTTTTCATCAAGAATCTCCTAGCAAGATTCCAAACTGCTACATAGCCACTGGGGCTTTCTTTGTGTAGCTTTACAGAGTTTTGGGGGGCCATACTCAGAACTTGCCAACAAGAAGTTACAGGGTTGGCTTGTAATGTTGCTTCGGGCACTGTATCCTGCATTAGGTGCTCACCTAGGCACGTAGTGCCTTGTTAGCACCCTTCCTGTATAGCACCCTTGTTAGCCACTGAGTGCTATACAGGTCCAGGACCATGGTACTTCTGCAGATGGAACCCTTAAGGTTATACCTACTGGGGGGGTGAAAATTTAGCTGGGACTTGTTCCCTAAAATTCATCCTTTACTGACAGGAGGACTTCCAGACTGCACTAAGTCAGGGATACAACTCAACTGGGAGTGCAGGGTGCTGTTGCTCCAGTCCCTAAGGTGTTACATATGAAGCTATGGTTGGGACTCTTGGTCACAGCCAGCAGTGATTTAGTCTTTTTATTTGTTTGCCTTGATCTGGGCTGCATGCCTGTTTCATGGAGACTCGCTGCACATGTGTGATCCATCCTCACCACTGCTTTACAGCACAGCAGTCCTTGGACGTTTCTGGGTTCTCACTGCCTACAGTGACTGGTCAACAAAGACTAAACAATTTGTGCTCCACAGTACTGGTTGGGAGTACCCCCGGAGGGATATCCCTTCTTACATATAATGAAATATAGGCGCAAGGGGGATGGGTTAACCGTCTTTGCCAGTTCACAGTCAGTTAATGGCTCTGAGGGGGTATTTAGCATCTCCTCAAAAGGCCCTGCTTCTTTTATTCGTAACTGCTGTTCCCATTATAAGTTGCTGCCTTTCTCACAGGCCCCTAGTTTCTTCTGGCACACCCCCTCTTTCTGTTTATATAGAGAGGAATTCTCAGCCACTATGTTTGTATTTCTGGGTAGGCTTTAAGATACCACAATCGGGTTCTCTCAGCTCAGCCTCTCTTTCTGATTCCATCTCTGACACTCTTTTTACTGCTTCCGTGTCATGTGAGAATACTCTTTAAAGGGAAACACCTCTTTAGTGAGTCCTTGAACACCTACATCAAGGAAGTCATGGGGCTATGAACACCCCTTTACCCCAGAAAAGAAGGCAAAAGTTCCTGCAGGCAAGCCTTGGGCTCCTGAGATTACTTAGAGTTCCCTTTGTTTCTCTCAGGCCTCAAGGTCCAAGTCCAAGCCCGGAACCTAATTCTACTATAAAACCTGAACCACCAGTGGTACGCCTTCTGTGGTCACACAGCATTAGCTATATGCTGCCCTTTCCTTTGGTCTGTAGACTATACCTCAGATCTTTGTCAAAGTGCTAGCTACTGTCCTAACTCTGCTTCACTCTTAGAATATTCTTATTGTGGGATATCTCCTGCTGAATGAACACCCAGCAAATGCCCAAAAGACAGTGCAAACCCTACAGAGGTTTGGATGGATCCTAATATTCCATGACCCAACCCACAGATTGGAGTATGTGGACCTGATCTTGGATCAGCTGTCTCCAGGGCCACTCAGTACTTGGTCATCACCTTCTGTGGTCACACAACATTAGCTATATGCTGCCCTTTCCTTTGGTCTGTCCACAATACCTCAGATCTTTGTCAAGGTGCTAGCTACTGTCCTAGCTCTGTTTCACTCTTGGAGTATTTTTATTGTGGAATACCTGGCTGAGTGTTCATTCAGCAGGAGATAGCCAATGCCCAAAAGACAGTGCAAACCCTACAGAGGTTTGGATAGATCCTAATATTCCATGAGCCAACCCAGAGATTGGAGTATGTGGACCTGATCTTGGATCAGCTGTCTACAGAGCCACTCAGTACTTGGTCATCAGAAAAACGCATTTGATCAGGACTTCTCAGTTGCAAGGTCACCTGATCAGGATTCACCTGAGCAGTGTCATGGCAGTGGCATACATCAAGAATCAGGGAGGGACCAGTTCTGCAGCTCAAAGAGAAGCAGATCTATTTCTAGCATGGGTAGAACTCCAAATTCAGGCATGGAACAATAGCATTCGGACTTACTCAATTGTCAGAGTCTAGATTCTGAAGTATGGCCTCTCTACCAGAGGTGTTTCCAGTGCTTTGTCAAAGGTGGGAGACACTGCACATGGACTTTCTGGTGTCCAGGATCAATGACTTACTAGGCTCAGGGATCCTTAGGCATTTGCAGCGGATGCTCTGGTGACTCCGCTGGATCAGTTCAGCATGATCTATGCTTTTCCCCTCTAAAACTGCTTTGTCTGCTTAGTAATCCTCATTGCAATGAACTAGCCCAGGAAGATGTCGACAAACTCTTGGCAGACTCAGTGGGCCATTACGGATTGTACACATTTTCTGTCCTAGTGGTCATTCTGCCATCCTACATCTTGGTTGCTGGCTTTAACTGCTCTGCCCATCCCAGAATACAATGTGCATGTCAGAACTACTTCTTGGCAGGATTTGGTAGCTATATGCATTTGTGTGGTGAAGGTTGCATATTATTATTTAAAAATTATTTTTTAAATAGAAAGAATCAGGAAGTTACTATTTGGTCCTGATGGTGCTAGGGGAAATATGAAGATAAGTTGCCATTATTGACAGCTTAAGCTGCCATCACACTGGTACTGCTGCTTACAGATAAGCACAGAGTATGATTAACAAAGCTAAACATGATGTAGACGATTATTCGTGTTCATAGTATGGCATCAAGAAAACACTTCCTCACCTTTCATATAATAATAATTCATTGATAGCAATCAACCCTCCAGTATAGCAGATTCCAAATCTCATGCCAAACCCCCGTCAGCTCTTCCCTCAGCCATCTT